AAGCCTATGATCTCTGACTGAAACAGCTTCATGTCACAGTGAAGTGTGGAGACACTTGTTGTACTATAGTTCTATGGTCCCTGTTGTACTATAGTCTTAGCCTCTTATTTTTTTCTTTTTACCTTTGAGCCCTCTAAGGGCTCTGTTTGTAATTCTTTATTTTTCTTCTTTAGCCCTTCAAGGAATCCCTTGTAATTATACATAATTAATATATATTTTGACTCATTGGGGGTGGGAGTCAATTCATTCTGTTAGACACCCCTGAAACCTTTGGTGTACTCATGAACTGGAAGATTGACAGAAAGTTGTGTAAAATTTACATRATTAAGAAACCACCTTTGGACTATTTCTATCTTTGCATGTCTTCCTCATACATCRTATGGCAACRTGTTGTTATAGAGTGTTAGTTTTGAAATTAGAGAAGAAGAAGAGAGAAAAAGAAGAATGAGAGACATGGGGCTGTAGCACCTCTAACAGCCCCTAATCTTATTATTTATAGTAGGGTTTTAAGAGGAGTACAATGACAATTTTCCCCTGATTAGTTGGCAGAAAAGAATATATTAGTATAATAAGGTCCAGGCCCATTAAACCTAAGAAAGAAACATAAAAGAGGGACACAAAACATAAACAAAACAGTGAGCCTAAGCCCACAATGCTAAGTCTCRCAACACTCTCCCTTAAGCTAAGCATAGATACCTTTCATGCTCAACTTGCATAACAACTCCATAAATCTTGCCCTGATGAGCCCCTTGGTAAAAATATTGGCTAGTTGTCTCCTAGATGGCATATAAGGAATATAGAGGTCCCCATAAACAATTCTTTCTCGCACAACATGTCTATCAATTGTAGTATGTTGTCTTGTCATGTTAGATTGGGTTGTTAGCAACATGGTTTTCGAACCGCCGTTGACCCGGACGGTCGGACTGTACAGCCCAGGAACCGTCCAAGCAACCGGTTCAGTTTTACCCCAAACCCAATCCTTGGCCAAAAACCGTTGAAAAAGTCAATGACCCGTTGACCCGGGCAGTCGAACCATCGACCCCAAACCTGTTCAATGTTTTTTGGCTGTTTTTTATTTTTAATTATTTTTTGTCAGAACGGGCTGTCTGTTCGAACCGGACGATCA